CCAGCATGGGACTGGTTGTTCCCACCTAATCCCCATCACCCTTCTCAACAACAGACGCAACTGGAGAGGGGACATAACATGACTCTTCAAGGTGCTGGAAAGGTCATCTGGGAGGCCACCAAACACCAACAGATCCAACTCTCATTGTATAGATTGGAAAACAAGGGGCACGCAGCCAGTGTGTGCTGGGACAGGAAGGACGGCAGAGAAACGTATTAGGAAAAAGCCAAAAGGCTGAGCCCCGCGGGTCCTGTGACGCCCACCCTGCCCATCCTGGCTGCTTCCTTCCTTCCTGTGCTGAGACCTGCCTCTCTCCTCTGTGGACTTCCTCAGCTGTGCACCACACTTATCTAGTATCCCCTGGGCCTGGCCTTCAGCACCATTGTACTCCAGCCGATGGCTCCTCCTGCCTCCTCCGGTTCCCGCTTCCTATCCCCTCGGCATCATCACTCACACGCCATGGACAAGGTCTAGCCTTGAAGCCAGATGGCATCTGCCTCAGTGCAGACTTTCAACCGTGTCTACTGAGAATGGATAGACCTGGTCTGTGCTCGGGGTCAAGCCTGACACTAAGCAGAAACCGAAAGATGTTAGAGGAACCAGTTATGGTCCCACGACTCTGGAAGCCCAGCAGGAGGGTTACCAGTTAGAGGCCAGCTTGACCTACAAAACAAGTCTCCAAATTGCAAACAAAAGGCTTATTTCAGGGCCAGTGTGATGGCTCAGCAGGTAAAGGCACCTGCACGGAGTGGGTGCGGAGAGAATCTACAAAGGAGGCTGTATGTGCCTCTCATGTGTTCCTCTAGAATGCCACAATGAAAACGGGTTCATGCGTACTAGGCCGCTGGGGCTGAGACAGGAGGAGCCGGCCCAGGGTCAGGAGAACGCTGTAGAGCTGGCTGCAGCCATGTGACTGCCAGCTCTTTCCTGATCACCTCCAGCTTTGGTCACTGGCTTTCGGCTTCCTAAGTGCGACAGCAGATACATTCAAGCCTTTCCCTTCCCTTCCTGATCCCATGTGATCCCAGCAGGCCCCGTGCCTGTCAACCTTCTCGTGCTGCGATGATTTGCTCTTTAGAGTTTCTGCTTATTGCTTTTGTGGCACTGGGACCGAACCAGAGCGTCCTGCACATGCTCACACCTGCCACAGCGTTCATGCGCAGGTCAGAGAACGGCTTTGGAGTCTTCTCCCTTCATTCATCACATGGGACCAAGGAATCAAACCCCAGGAGGCAGGAGGCTTGGCAGCAAGTCCCACTCCCTGATGAGTCATCTCACCCCACCTCTTTTATTATATATATAATATATATACTGGTTTTTTGAGGCAGGGTTTTTCTGTGGCTTTGGAGGCTGTCCTGGAACTAGCTCTTATAGACCAGGCTGGTCTCGAACTCACAGAGATCCGCCTGCCTCTGCCTCCTGAGTACTGGGATTAAAGGCGTGTGCCACCAACGCCCAGCTTTATATTATTTTTTACTTTTGTTCTGAAATAGGATCTCACTGAGTTGCCCAGGCTGGATTTGAACCTTCAGTATGACAAGTGTGAGTTACTGTGCTCAGTTCAGACTTTTTTTTTTTTTTTTTTGGTTTTACAAAACAGGGTTTCTCTGTATTGTTTTGGAAGCTTTCGGTCCAGCCTGGCCTCAAACTCACAGAGATCTGCCTGCCTCTGCCTCCCGAGTGCTGGGATTAAAGCACTGCCCGGCTCTTTTTTGTTTTTAAATACATGACATGTACACATATGAGTTTATAAAACAATATGTTCAGTCATATAACAAATTCATAAATGTAATACTAGAACTAGAGAATCATTAAAATCTTACCTGAAACTTGTGCTCTGAACACCCTCTAGAGAAATCATCTCTCCTTTTAAAGGTTTATTTATGTATTATGTATATAGTGTTCAGCCACCATATATCATTACAGGTGGTTATGAGCCACCATGTGGTTGCTGGGAATTGAACTCAGGTCCTCTGGAAGACCAGTCAAGTGCTAAAACTTCTGAGTCATCTCTCCAGCCCTCATCTCTCATTTTAAAATAATTTTATCACAAACAGGTGTATATCCAGAGAATATATTGCTTATTTTCAACTGTACTGCATGGCTTTATGTTTTGTTGTTTGTTTTGAGATGGAATCTCACTCTATAGCCCAGGCTGTCTGGGAACTCACTATGTAACCCATGGCCTCAAGCTCACGGCAGTCCTTCACACATGCTGAGCAAGCACTCTACAAACTGAGCCCTGTCTCCAGCCCGGCACTGTTTTCTATGCCCACAAAACGCTGCCCTGCCAGCCTGCGTCCTGCGTAGGGATTGATCAAAACCCATCCACAGGCCACAGTACCGGCCCCCATCAGCCTAATTGCATCATGACGGCTCCATAGGTCCATCTGTCCCAGCTCCAGTGTCCAGCACTCTACAAGCTTTTAAAATCGCACCTTGTCTTCACTTCCAGAAGGAAGTCCCTCCAATTCCCCTGTCCTCTCAGGGTATAAAGTGTGGCTCTCAGCCCCAATAAAAGACACTTCACACACTCCCACCCCACCTACCCCTGCCAACACACACACACACACACACACACCATACTCTCACACACACTCACACACATACACACTCACACACATACACACACATGCACACTCACAGTCACACACATACTCACGCACACTCACACACATACACACATGCACACTCACACACACTCACACATACACATTCACACACACACACCATACTCTCACACACATACACACATGCACACTCACACACAGTCACACACATATACTCACACACACTCACACACACCATACTCTCACACACATACACACATGCACACTCACACACAGTCACACACATATACTCACACACTCACACACATACACACTCACACACATACACACACAGGCACACTCACACACAGTCACACACATATACTCACACACACACACACACACAGAGTCCTCCGATACAAAGGCCCAGCGTCTCCCATCATGCCTTCCCAGGGCCTGCACACAGGAAGAACTCAGCACTTGTGGAAAGCAATGACAGGACAGAAGGATGCTGCTGGAACCCTGTCTGACCCCACCAGCACTTGGTCCCCTACGCCTGCTTCCCTCTCTCAGGAGGTTTTTTCCATGTCTCTTAGCCCATTTGAAGGATTGGTCAACTTGCTTCCTCCTTCCCAACTCTGGAATCAGCTACTCCTCCTATTGGTAGGAAGGAGAGAATTAGAAGAGGACAACCCCATAGACGCTTTCACTCCACACCAAGCAATCCTAAGGAAATAAAAGCTGATTTTTTGGGGGAGGAGGAGTTTCAAGACAGGGTTTTTCTGTGGCTTTGGAGGCTGTACTGGACCTAGCTCTTGTAGACCAGGCTGGTCTCGAACTCACAAAGATCCCCCGTCTCTATCTCCTGAGTGCTGGGGTTAAAGGCGTGCACCACCACCGCCTGGCCTGGAAATGGATTTTTAAAATTTCAGTCAGGCATAGTGGTGCAGGACTTTAATCCCAGCACTCAAAAGGCAGAGGCAGCTGGATCCCTGTGAGTTTCAGGCTAGCCTGATCTACATAGCAGAGTCAGTCAGTAAGAGAGAGCCTGTTGAAGAAGGAGGAAAAGGAAGGACGGGGGGAGGAGAAATACACACACACAGACACACACACACACACACACCACAGACAGAAGACATAAACATACACAGTGTGCATTTGGTATTAAAATCTTTAATTAAGCCGCTCGGTGGTGGCGCACACCTTAAATCCCAGCACTCGAGAGGCAGAGGCAGGTGGATCTTTGTGAGTCCGAGGCCGGGCTGGACCGACAACATCCAAAACAATATGGAGAAACCCTGTCTTGTAAAACAAACAAAAAAAATCTTTAATTAAGTTCCAGGACAGCCTCCAAAGCCACAGGAAACCCTGTCTCGAACCCCCCCCCAAAAGAAAATTGTTTAATTAAGAAAAAAACCTGACCTGGAGAGCTGGGATTTAAGTTAGTTGATAGATATTACATAGCATACACATGTTTGATCCCGGCATCACATATAAACTGGGTATGGTGGTGCACACCTGTAATCCCAGAACTTAGGAGGTGAAGGAGGCCAGAAGATCAAGAGTTCGAGGCCAGCCTGGTCTACATAACACCCAGTTTCAAGGAATGGGGGATGTGAACCTAGAGGCCACTGAGGAGGGTGCTTTGGAAGGCGCTGAGGGTCGGTGATGTAAACTCTTGGCCTTGCCTTCTCCGGCTCAAAACTGGAGGAAGGGAGAAGCAGGAGACCCGACAGTCCCATCCCAGGTCTCTCTCAAAGAGTCCCCAGATCTGACCCCCACCTGATCTGACCCCCACCTGATCTGACCCCCACCAGATCTGACCCCCACCAGATCTGACCCCCACCAGATCTGACCCCCACCAGATCTGACCCCCACCTGATCTGACCCCCACCTGCTGCCTCTGGTCTTTTCTCACCATCCCCCAGCATGCACACCAATGAATGCATGAAGATCCAGCAGCCCATGTTGTGTTCTTTATATCGCCCTGAGGCCCCAAGCAGACATTTTCCCAGGTACACCCCTCCTGGAGCTGGAGAGAGTTGGAGTCTTTTGTCCCTAAGCCCCCGAATTAAGAAAGAAGAAAAAGAAGAATTAAAAAGCCAGGCGGTGGTGGTACACGCCTTTAATCCCAGGCCTTGGGAAACAGAGATTGGCAGATTTCTGTGAGTTCAAGGCCTAGTCTACAGAGAGAGTGTTCCAGGACAGGCTCCAAAGCTACAGAAAAACCCTGTTTCAAAAAAAAAAAAAAAAAAGTCCAGAAGAATAACCCTGGAATACGCCAGACAGGGTGATAAATGCTTGTGTCCCCAACACTCAGGAGACAGAGGCAGGAAGATTGCCACCAGTTCAAAGCCAGCCAGCTCCACAGGACAAGTTCCATGCTAAAACAGCTCCCGGAAGATCCCAGGAGGGAGTCCAGCTGAAGGAGGTCCCAGGGAGTGAGGGTCATTACAAGTAAGGTGTGCTTTATTGCAATACGGTTGTGGTCACAGATAGCTCTACTTAGAATTGCTCTAGAGTCATAGAACCACTTGGGAGTGGGGCAGGTTGGTTGGGAGCTTGTGTAGAAGAGGGTGTAGAAGAGATGCGGGTAAGGGGAACCATGGGTGATGATGCAATTGGGGCAGGTTGGTTGGGAGCTTGTGTAGAAGAGATGCGGGTAAGGGGAACCATGGGTGATGATGCAATTGGGGCAGGTTGGTTGGGAGCTTGTGTAGAAGAGGGTGTAGAAGAGATGCGGGTAAGGGGAACCATGGGTGATGCAAGTGGGGCAGGTTGGTTGGGAGCTGGTGTAGAAGAGATGCGGGTAAGGGGAACCACGGGTGATGCGGTTATCTTCTGGCCCCCTGCTGCAGAATTCTCCAATCTCTGAGGTTGCTGAGGTATGCTGCAGTGAATTAAGCCCAGGTACACAATGCCTCCTATGTAGGCACCCACGATGGGAGCCACCACTGGCACCCACCACCAGTTGTCCCCGGCTCTGCAAGCAAAGAGAGGGAGAGGCCTGTTGAGGACACCGATGCCCAGGATTCCGCTTGTGACCCACTCAGGCCACCCCATATCCTAAGGGACTCTGAGCCTCAACCAGGGGCAGGGTTGACAGTCCAACAGCAGGAACCACATCTGAAGATCTCTGGGCCCCTCCTGATCCCAGATCACCTGGAGACTTCATGGGACCTGCCTGTGTCGCCATTACAGCTCATACCCTCTGCATGCAGGGACCCCCAGAGAGCAGACAGGAATGGATCTGGAGGGGCAGTACCTGAACACTTTTTTGCCCCAGCCAGCAATGAAAGTGAAGAAGCGGGGAGGCAGGTCACGGGACGGATTGATTGCATATCCCGAGTTCATGCCTAGGGACACGCCAATGACACAAACGAGGATGCCTATCACCAGGGCCTCGGTCCCATGAAGGGCTGGACTGTTCTTCTTGTCCGTGATGGCGAAGAGACACAGCTGGAGCATCGCAGTCACGAATACCTGGGGAGCAAATGTCACGGCAACCTACTGAGGACACAGCCAAGTGAGAGGTGCTCAGGCAGGACCCCAGATCTGCAGTGGCAGAGACGTGTCGCAGTGCAATCCCATCCAGAATTCTCCTGTCCTCCTGTAGTCACTGACCTCATCCAGGAAGCCCTGCCACACCGTCATGTGCTCGGGGAGATAGGTAGCAAAGATGTTTGCCGTGGACAAGGGCCCTGTCACCAACAGGTCTCCGCCTGCAAAGTGGTCAATGGCACCTGTGGGGACAAAGATTGAGTTAATTCCCAGCGGGGTCCAGGACAGGAGGCTGTGGGCAAGTGGCTGGGAATACTTCAACAGCTGTACTCAGCTAGTTGTTTTGGGTTTTGTTCCTATTCATCCAGAACAGGACACCGACATGGGATCTGGTCATAGTTCAGAAAAAGAGACTGGAGGCAGAGGACCCGGAAGGACACTCACTATAGAATATTAAGTAGGTGGTGGCTGCCGCTGAGAAGGAGCCCAGGAACTGGCCCAGCACGTATATAGGGAACTTCCTCCAGGGCATCCGGCCCAGGGCACAGTTGGTGAAGGTCACCGCTGCGTTCATGTGGGCCCCTATTGTGAGAAAGGCGTGGGTGTGGTGGGGGTTAAAAGTAAAGAAACAAGCAGCAGAATGAATCATGTGGATGGCAATAGCGCAACCTATAGGAATGGCTACTGTTTGTGGAGTGTCCCTTAAAAGACCACACGCAGCTGGGACCACCGTCTCCATCTTTGCCATAAGGTAAGTGAGGATGGAGTAGGCAAATCCTTGCTTAAGATAACCCAGCTAGGACATTTGGTGAGTCAAAGGGTACGTGAAGAGTCTGGGGAAGACGGGGCAGAGGCAAGGGCTTCACAGTGGTCTCCTCCCTGTGGGTCACCTGAAGGTGCAGCACTAGCTGAAAGGGACAGAAACGGCCCACCAGAAAGGCGTGGCCTTGCTTGTAAGACCAGATGTGGGCTCACTCACCGGAGATGCCGCCTGCCACGTGCACTCCCATGGTGACTCCGAAGCCAAAACCCAAGTTGACACCAAGATAGCTCCCAAGCTTTTGGTCTCCTAGAACCATATGAGCCACGGAACCAAGGCCAAACACCTGTGAGGGAGGACTTCTGAGGGAGCTGCCTGCCCAACATTCCCCATCAGAGCAAGGTTCAAAACTCAGTTTCCCCTCCTCACTACCCCACTCCCATTCCCTCATCCCTGGGCCTCCTCAGCATCTCCTATAAAGACCATGCTTTCTCCTGCAGGCTTTTCTAACAAACTTTCCTCCTTGGCTCCTAGCAAGGCCTCTCAGACCCAAGTCAATGACAGCTGGCTGAAGGGGATACAAAAGGTCCAGGTACAGGATGGTACAGTCAGAGGCTACCCACGACAAGCCTGAAGTGTGGAGTGGGCGTAGGGCGTCAAGGAGGACAGCCAGTGTAAATCGCCATCCTCAAAGCATCTCATGCTCCAGGCTTGCCTTAGGAGGTTTGAGTCACCCATCTGAAAGAACTATTGCTCTCCCCTTCTGACAGACGGCCATCTAAACGTTAAAGAAACCGAATGACCTAGTCAACGTCACCTGTGGCATGAGCCAAGCATGAATCTAGAAAGTCTTTTATGCCAATACTTGCTGCTATGAAAGCCTTGGTGTTCTTAGAAATACTGACTCCTCCGGAGTCAGGCGGTGGTGGTGCATGCCTTTAATCCCAGCACTCAGCAGGCAGAGGCAGGTGATGTCTGTGAGTTCGAGGCCAGCCTGGTCTACAGAGTGAGTTCCAGGACAGACTCCAAAGCTACACAGAGAAACCAAAAAGGAAGGAAAGAAGGAAGGAAGGAAGGAGGGAGGGAGGGAGGGAGGGAAGGAAGGAAGGAAGGAAGGAAGGAAGGAAGGAAGGAAGGAAGGAAGGAAAGAAGGAAGGAAGGAAGGAAGGCTAACCACTCGGGTAATGGTGGTGCACATTTTTAATCTCAGCACTTGAGAGGCAGAGGCAGGTGGATCTCTAGGAGTTGGAGGTTAGCCTGATCTACAGAGTGAGTTTCAGGACAGCCACAGCTACAGAGAGAAACCCTGTCAAAAATACAAAAAACAAACACAAAAACCCCTCTGCCTATAATGCTTGATCCTACATCATAACCCATTTAAGGGACCAGCAAGAATGGCTCACCAGGAAAATGTGTTTACCACCAAGATAAACAACCTGAGTTTGATCTCAGAACCTACAAAATAGGAGAAAGCCAACTTGAAAAATTATCTTCTGCATAATAAACTTCTTTTGTTCTTTCTGACACAGGGATTCTCTGTGTAGCTCTGGCTGTCCTGGAACTTTCTCTGTAGACCAGGCTAGCCTAGAACTCAGAGATCCACCTGCCTCTGCCTCCCAAAAGCTGGAATTAAAGGCATGTGGTACCACCACACAGCCCATAATAAACTTTTAAAAGTAAAAATATACTTACACTCAGATGGTGCGTCCTTTGAGATGCCCATGTGTTTGCACACGTGTTGTAAAGAGATCTCTACTATCAGGGTGCTGGCAATCAGAGTCTACATATGTGTGCTCTAACGTGGTAGTCAGGGACCACATATGGCTGTTATGTGCTTGAGTGTGGCTACTACAAACAGAGATCGGCCATAAATGTAAAATATGCACCAGATTTCACATACTTAGTCACATCCACTGACTACATATTGACATGAAGTTTGGAATATGTGGGTTAAATACCATAGTGATTCAAAATAATTTCACCTATTTCTTTAACCTTTTAATTGTGACTACCTCAAAATATTAAACATACCTGACTCGTTGCATTTCCCTTGTACACCTTTGGTTATGAGAGGGGAAAAAAACCTAAGGAATTGTGAGTGCGAGAGCTGAAACCAACTTCAATAGCGGTTGATGATGCCAGGAGAGGGCATCGGGCTGGACCTGTACAGGACTCATGCTGGGTGTTATAAATCTCGACTGAAGCATATTTTGAAATGGCAAATGGAGAAATAATGTCATGGATGCCAGGGAGAGATGGCGTCCTGAGGAGGGCAGAGTAGCTCTGTCTTGGCAGCCTGAGTCACATGTATAAAGGTCTAAAGAGCAGTCCTGCGGTGTGACACTCCAAGAGTCATTTGAAAGGCACCGAGCGCCATGTGGTCAGGCCCTTCGGACAGTGGCTGAGTCTGGAGATTGAGAGGTCATGGTGGCGAGGAAGAGTCTAATCTTCTGGTTTGTGTTTTTGGACACGAGGCCTCTCTGTATTGTGCAGAGTAGCTTTAAGCTCCTCAGCTCTACTATCCTGATCAGGCACAAATCACTGTCTCCTGCACAGATTGTTCTGAGGGACAGCGTTGTTGAATTCCTCTTGTCTGAGGCGCTGAGGGTGAAATTCAGGCCCTCATTCATGCAAGGGAAGGGTTGCGCTATTGAACCACAACGCCAAAAGATAAGGAGGAATTGGAAGGAGCTGGTAGAGACCGGTGGCATGTTTGTGTCTGGTGTTGTTTTGGGTAGGGAGACTTTGATATGCTCACAGGCAGAGAGAGAGTCAGAGACAGACAGACACAGAGACAGAGAGACAGAGAGGAGAGTGAAATGGAATAAGGCCTGTGCAGGCGGGTTCAGAGGTGGAGGAAGGAGGTATCTGCTCTATCTGAGGGGAGGTGGGCACAGGTCACAGGTCACAGGTCACAGGTGGGTACAGGCACAGATCACAGCTGAGGGGCGCAGGAGAGGGAGGATCTGGGGTACAGGGAGCCCCCTGATGATTTTCTCTGGTGAGCCAGAGATCAAGCCCTTTTCAGAGTGTGTGTGGGGCAGTTGTGAAGATCCAGGCCAAGCATGGTGATGCACATCTGTAATCCCCACTCTCCAGAGGCAGAGGGTTGTCCTAAATTCAAACCATCATGTTTTATCTTCCAGGCTAACCAGGGCCCAGGGCTATAAATGTAGACCTTGTCTCTAAAAAAGAGGGGAGGGAGCTGGGGAGATGGCTTAGCGGTTAAATAAAGCACATGCCATTTAAGTGTGAGGACCAGAGTTCAAATCCCCAGAGGCCCACTTAAATGCTGAATCGTGGTGTGGTGACCCATGGGTGATTCCAACCTCAGAAGGCAAAGACAGGGAATATCCCCAGAGTGATCGGTCAGAAAACTAGCCACATCAGCAAGCTCTAAGTTTGACGGAGAGACCCTGTCTCAGTAGGGGGGAAGGGTGAGGGCTCTTGACATGAATCTTTGGCCTCCACATGCATACACACACCACACAGGGAAAGTGGAAGACAAGCAAGCCACCTGGGCAGAGTAGTACACGCCTGGGGCTAGCCTGGACTACATAGTGAGACCCTGTCTAAAAATACAAACAAAACGATGGCTAGTGGCAAGGAGCTCACCCTCGCAGAGGATCTGAGTTCGGGCCTGAGTACCCATGCCAGCTGGCTCACAGCTGCCTGCAGCCCCATCTTCAGGGGAATCTAATGCCTCTGGTCTCCGTGGGCACCCGAACTCACATGCACATACACACCGGTATACACACACATGCGCGCGCACACACACACACACCTCAAAATAATTTTAAAAACAGCAAGCAAACAAAAACCTTAGGGGGGAAGTGAAACAACCCCAAGAGTTGACCGGGCTCACAGGAGCCCAGGTCAGGTGCAGGGGAAGGCAGGGATGGCCTGACTTGCAGTCTGGAGGATGCAGCATGAGAAAACAGGACTCCATGGGTGTGGAAGACCAAGCCGGGCTGACAGCTGGGAGATGCACAACGTGGCCAGGCCTGGACAGGTGTGCAGGGCTTTAGGCAGGAGGTGCTACCTCCATCCGCCTCATGTCAAAGCCACTGACTTGGTTGTTTGATCTTGAGACAGGCCTTCTCATGGCAATCCTCCTGCCTCGGCTCCTGGAGCTCTGGGGTTACACGCATGTGCCACCACACCTAGCTTCAAAACCCTTTGCTAATGGTGATGAACTCGTGGACCAGCTTCACAAGATGGGATCCTGCTGCCGGGTCCACCCAGTGCCCCTGATCCACCCGGCACACAACTTTTGTCTGAATGACTGACTCTGGAAATTTCAGCTGCTCTTGGAAAACGAGACAATCCAGGAATAATGGCCTTCATCCCACTCTCCATGACAACCGACAGCTGGACAGTAGTGGCGGCACCCTTATAACAGACGGGGACCAGAGCCCTTTGCACCCTGCTGTCTGTCCGAGGCACGGGAGTTTGCAATCCTCGCCCTGTAATTCACAAGTGCAGCCAGGTTTCCAGGGCCCCAATGGTTCCAGCCCCTCCCCTCCCTGGTCAGTGAATGCAGCCCAGCCCGTCAAAGTGCCAGCAACAGCCAGGAAGCCAGCTCTGAACAACAACCTCATCCCAGCTGCCGTAACAGGGCCCAAGGTCACACTGACCTTTTCTGGCACAACCTTTGCCCTGGTGATTCACTGAGCTTCCTATAACCAAAAAAGCTCCCGCTCGTTGGCACAAGACAAGGAATTAAAAATAACAGCAACAGCACAGTGTCCTCCAGAAGTTTAGCTTCAGAAAGTTCTTTTTACAAGCGGTCCTTCTGAACCCTCGCAGAAAATCAGTGGACAGATGGGGCCTGAAGGCCAGGAGGTGTTCTTGAACTTCCCAGAGACTGAGAGCAAGCACCCCGCCCACCTGGAAGAGAGGCAGCAAGCTTGCCGTCTCTAAGCTGAGCAGTAGAGCAAAAAGATAAAAGATCAAGACAGACATCAGACTGGCCCGGATTTGCTTTAGACTTTGACAGGAGACTTAGTCTCATAGAACCTCATTTCCCCAGCCGTAAAATGGGCGTGATAATAGTACCTATCTCCAGCCGGGCATGATGGCACACATCCTTAATCCCAGCACTCAGGGGGCAGAGGCAGGCAGGTGACTGAGTTTGAGGCCAGCCTGGTCTACATAGGGGGTCCCAGGACAGCCAGGGCTATGCAGAGAGAGCCTGTCTGAAATAATGATAACAGTACCAATCTCATAGGCCATTGCAAAGATTTGGAGAGGTGCTGCATGCGAGGGACTTAGCATCCTAGTGCTCGGAATGCAGTAGGGGATCAATAATCACCAAAGTAGAAGACAACAGAAGCCTAGCGTGGTGGCACACACCCTTAATCCCAGCTCTCAGGAGGCTGGAGCAGGAGACGTTCAGGATAGAAATCAGCTGAGGTGACGCAGAAAAAAATCCTGTTTTAAATAAATAAATAAAAAGTGTAAAGGCGGAAATCTGCTGAGATGACTCCCAGGTGAAAACACGTGCCGCCAAGCCTGGCTGCCGGGGTTCTGTCCCCGAGACCCGCCCCACAGAAGAAGACAGCCACTCCGCGAGTTGTCCTCTGGCCTCCCAACTCTCAGTGGGGCCTGCTTGTGCCACACAAAATGTGTGCCCACACACGTGCCAAAAGAAAATGTTTAGTTAAAGAATTCAAAAGGAAGGACTAGGAGCATGACTTGTAACGCAGTGGTAGAGTACCCGCTGAATGTACAAGTTTCAGGATTGGTCCCTGGCACCAGCAAAAAAGAAAGAAAGAAAGAGAGAGAGAGAGAGAGAGAGAGAGAGAGAGAGAGAGAGAGAGAGAGAGAGAGAGAGAGAGAGAGAGAGAGAGAGAGAGAGAGAGAGAGAGAGAGAGAGAGAGAGAGAGAGAGAGAGAGAGAGAGAGAGAGAGAGAGAGAGAGAGAGAGAGAGAGAGAGAGAGAGAGAGAGAGAGAGAGAGAGAAAGAAAGAAAGAAAGAAAGAAAGAAAGAAAGAAAGAAAAGAAAGCAGATGCAGGCATGTGTCAAGCCACGGGCAGTGGCTGCGTCCCCATGTGTCAAGCCACGGGCAGTCGCTGCGTCCCTAGGCACCCTCCAGCCTCCGGCATTCCAAGGTTTAACAGCCTTCATAAGGCTGGAATGTCTTGTCATAAATGAATTACTTTGCCCTGGGTTAAGGAGGGACAAGATCAGGTTATCCTCCCCACAACTCAGGAGCCCAAGAAGGTAAGGATGGAGGAGAGGGATGTGGAGAGGAGAGTATCAAGAGTGCCTGTCAAAATAATAAGGAACCTAGTGGTGCACACACAGACACAGACACACGCACACACGCACACACACACACACAGACACACGCACACACGCACACACACACACATGCACAGTTTTGTAAAAACTTTTTTTAATTTTTAAAAAACCCTGGCTGGCTAGGCAGTGGTGGCGCACACCTTTAATCCCAGCACTTGGGAAACAGAGGCAGGCAGATCTCTAGGAGTTTGAGACCAGTCTGGTCTATAGAGTGAGTTCCAGGACAGCCAGGACTATTACACAGAGAAATTCTGTCTCAAAAAACAAAACAAAAATAATAAAATAAACAACTCAGGCTGGAGAGATGGCTCAGAGGTTTAGAACACTGGCTGCTCTTCCAGAGGACCCAGGTTCAGTTCCCAGCACCACATCAGGCAGCTCACAGGAGAGCCAACCCTCTCTTCCGGTCTCCACAGATACCTACATTGGCATGCAATACCCACACACCTGTGTATAAAGCTAAAAATAAACTCTTAAAAAAGCAAAATAATAAATAAATAACAAGGAACCAACCATATTTATGTACAATATATACTGGGTGTTGACCTTTGGCCTCCTTCATGTGAGTCTTCCAGCTTAATGCCAGTTTTACATTTTTTTCAACAAAGAATCTAACTCCATGAACTATTAAAATGTACCAGGAGCCGGGCGCTGGTGGCGCACGCCTTTAATCCCAGCACTCGGGAGGCAGAGGCAGGCAGATCTCTGTGAGTTCGAGGCCAGGCTGGACCGACAGCCTCCAAAACAATACAGAGAAACCCTGTCTCAAAAAACAAAAAAACAAAAAAAAATGTACCTGGAACATTATACGGCTGAACCAGAACTCAGACCCAACTCCCAAGCCCGGAACTGGAATTCCACACTAGGAAACTGGGAAGTCAGGCTTGGAGCCAAGGAGAGACTTGCTCCAGCCAATCGTTGACAGCCAGGGTTAGGATAAGAGCCTAGGTGTCCAGAGTCCCTCCCATGTCATTAATTCTGAAGTTTTTATAACTGCCCGCCATAGTGCCATAGTGAACTTTACCTCCTCCACTGAGCCTCCCTTGAGCGCCAGCGCCCCCTATTTAACTACCTCCAGAATCTCTCCACATCTCATCTATCCAAAGTAACTTCTCCCCTGGGCCTGTGCTGGGGCCATGTTCCAGAGGGGCCCCTAAGAGCTTACCCTCCATCACCACCCAGTCTCCAACCTCCAGGACGCTAACAGCCTGATGATTGGTTCCTTTCCACAATTACCTTCCGAAATCCAAATACAACCATAGCATTCTACTAGTTTTTAAAAGTGTGTGTGTGTGTGTGTGTGTGTGTGTGTGTGTGTGTGAGAGAGAGAGAGAGAGAGAGAGAGAGAGAGAGAGAGAGAGAGAGAGAGAGAGAGAGAGAGGCAGCAGTACTGTGTACACGCCCCAGTGCCTGTGTGGAGATCTCAGGACAACCTTGTGGAGTTCAGGCTCGAGTCATCGGTCAGACTTGCTCACCAAGCATCTTTACCTGCTGAGCCATTTGCTTTCCCTTCATTTCCCTGCTTGATAACCTCCCCATTTCTCTCACACCAATTCTCAAAGGTCTCCCAACCTTTCATTATGTAGCCCAAGACTGGTCCTGAACTTGCTATGTAGCAACAAGACAAAGGACTCAAACTCCCAACTGCCCCACCTCAGATTCATAGTGCAGACGCGCCCAGGTCTTTCCTCCTTTTCTCGTTTTTGTTTGGCTTGCTGATTCAGTGTGTTTTGTTTTGGTCTTGTTTTTTGTTTGTTTTTCAAGACAGGATTTCTCTGTGTAGCTTTGTAGACCAGGCTGGCCTCAAACTCACAGAGATCCGCCTGCCTCTGCCTCCCCAGTGCTGGGATTAAAGGTGTGCACCACCACCGCCCAGCTTTTGTGTCATTTTGAGACAGTTCCTTCATGTAACACTGACCGGCTTAGAACTTGCTATGTACACTAGGCTGGCCTCAAATTTGCTTCAATCCTTCTGCCTCCGTCTCCCAAATACTGACAGCACAGACGCACCACCATGCCTTGTCTCTCGATGGCCCCTCACTCACCAGCCCCCGGCCCCACTCTCTCCTGGCCTATCATAGGCCCTTTTCTGTCCCCAAAGACTTGCGTGTCTGCTTCTTTCCCACGCCCCCCCCAGAGACAGAGGAAGGAAAGGTATGGCCCCTGGGGTCAACAACGTGAAGAGGTGAAGAACGACCCCCAATCCACCCAAGGCCACCCGCCCACTCACCATCATGACATAGGTGCTCATGGACTCAGCCAGGAACTCTCGTACCATCTCCCTCTGCAGGATTGATTGTATGTTCCTGAGGATAGGCCTAGGGGACATAGTGGAGTTCTGGATGGACCTGAAGCAGCAGACCAAGCCAACAAACACAAGATTCAAGTCTGCCTCCTGCCCATCGGCCCTTCCACACAGGGCTGAGTTAATGGGTAACTCGGTAGCCTCTCCCCGTGTACCTTCTCCTGCCCAGGGCAGCAGAGAAAGCCGGGATGAGAGGCCCCTGAGAGCCACAGGGACATGGACTGGAAAGATGGCCCAGCTAGTCCTCCTCTTCCTTCAGCCCCAGGCTGAACAGGTAGGAGGGGAGCACCGCTGCGGCCACCTTGCAAAGGGGGTAGGCCAGGAGCTGGAAGCGCAGTCTGCACTGAGCTGGGTCGTGTCTGCCTCTTTGCGGGAGTCAGAGCTTGGGGCCACCGGCCAGGGTTTAGGAGCAGTGGGGAACTCTGCAGGCACATGAGACATGGCAAAGTCTGGTGCCAGGCTCTGTGAATGGCACTGAAGCCTGGGAGCAAATACGAGGCTCTTCAGAAGGTGGGGGAGGGGGTTAGCAACCAGGCCAGCACGGAGATACCTGTGAACGAATAAAGAGGAAAAAGGAGGGACAGGGTCTTACAGCCCTGTGTGCCCTCAGGGGAAGGCCCACAGACGGACAGGAAATTTGCAGAATGGATGGGAACCAGGCAATCTACTTCTTGGCCTTAACCAGATTGACATCAAAGCTTCCTAAAGCGCCTGACACTTGGTAAGTGCTTGTTCAATAAAAGCTCGTTGGGGTGGTCAGTTAGATGAAGAAATGTGAGTTTCAGGCACCAGTGTCTGTTAGGGGGATACAGGGTTGGCATGTAGGGAGGCGCTGGATCTAGAGGATGAAGAGAAGTAGGGTGGATGTGGCTAGGTGGGTCTTGGGGAAATACGGTAATGGTAGGCTCCATGGTGGGAGACACGAAATCTAAGTATTTTACGGTATCAGTGAGAGAAGTCAGTCACGGTGGAGAGGACAAGGTTAAGGACATGGTCTTCTGAGGAGAGGGGCACCCCTGCAGAGCTGAGGTCACAGGAAGACTGGGGCCCATGGAGAAATTATTTTCACCTGGGATATGAGCTGCTTAAAGTGGGTTTAAGCCAAGAAAGGAGAACATGGCTGAGAGGCAATGCCATCAATGTAGGAGCCACTCGGTCTTTAAGTCCAAGAGAGGGCATGGTACAAACATCTGTATTCCACAAGCAATGATCGGAATGAACAAGTGTGCTTGCCTGAGAGGGTAATAAGTCCTACAGAGATCTGGAAGCCAGAAGAGGAGACACTGGGAATGCAGTGTCTTCGAAAGGAGTGTGACCCAAAGTGTGTTTGGGAGGGTGGGGTGGTAGTCCCCGGAAGCCTTGTTGAGAAGCCTCGGTGGAAATGGATGGAGGAGGAGGAGGATGACCGTGTGAACAAGCGTGAGGACAGAGCCTCAGGAAGAAAGAGTCTGAGACGAGTACAGGAAGCAAGGGAAGTCGGTGCAGCTCGGAGAGCGAGGAGATTGAAGCTTGGGGCAGAGAACAAGGAGGAACCTAGCCCTGGCCAGTGCAAAGACTTGGCTTTTATTTCAACCCAAGAGTCAAAAAGATTGATGGATTTGGTTCAGCGAAGTACCAATTACCCAGGGACAGTCAGAACCCGTTCGCCAATCCGGGATCCTCGTCTTGGTCTTCAGAGCTTCCCCTAAGCCCAGGGCCCGCCTGGTCTTGGTTGTGTCATGCATGGGAGATCAGAGGGGCTGGGCCCCATGGGCTGCTGGGTGGGTGGGTGGGGCACAGGAGAGCCCCTGCTCTGAGGGAAAAGCTGGGACAGGACAGGGAGGCGAGGAAGGACCTAGACTTGGGGGTATGCGGGATGCTTACCGCCTCGGCTGGGATATTTCAGCCATCGTTTGTCTTCTTGCTTTTTAGATGCTATGGACTCAGAGAGGAACCTAGGGCTGAGAGACACAGAACTTGGTTCCGTATTCCCAGCAGACCTCAGTTTCCCAGGGCAGGAAGCCACAGGAAGCTCTTACCAGTGCTGCCCCAAACCCAGACAAGTTGAGAGAGGGGTGGGAGGGAGGGAGAGAGGAGGTTTGCCTAAAGCAATTGCTAGGGGTCCTGCAGTCCCACTCACCTGTACCCACGCCGTCTCAGGACCCTAGCCCTCAAGGCCCGGCTCTTCCCAGGTCCTCCAGGTCTTCCCAAGTCTGCCATCCACCCAGCCCTGGATGATGTAATGCCCAAAGTCTGCCCTCCCACATTTCCTAAAACTTTCCCTGTGTCGCATGCTTCTCTCATACTGTCAAGGTAACTCGAGTGGCTCTCAGCCAGATTCTACCCAATTGTCTCTGGACCGAATCATCTATTTATACCCTAGTGGCAGAACCCCTGCTTGCTGGCCCAGCCTCTGAGGAGGACTCTAGGAAAGAAGCCAGCAGTAGACCCATCTCTGACCCGTTTCCCTTCTGCCCAGCCTTTCGGATGGGATCTTCAGCTGTTCCTCCTCACTCCACCAGGCACAGCACAAGGCACCCTCCTAATCCCTGCTTCAGCTCTGCCCCCGCCGAGTTACAGCTGATCCGTCCATGTGGGGCTGAGCCAGAGCAGAGAGTCCTACGTAAACTCCTGATGAACCTTCTTTCCCAAACAATCTCACAGTCACCCCTACGTGGTCCCGGGTGGGCTTGTCCCAAGGAGGCCAGCTGGCCCAGCCTACCTCAGTCTGCTGATCTGTTTCTCAGCCTCTGTCTGGGCCCTTCCGTTAGTGTGGAAACTGGCTTAGATTCTGCTCCACCATCACTGTGGCAGGCTCAAGCTGCCACTAGAGATCTGCTGTCTGATCTGCAAGTCCTCAGTTAGAGCCTACCTCTTAGCCCTGCTCAGGGTGGTCCTGAGTCCTGTGGTGCTCCTCCAGGGGAGAGGTCAGTAGTGCAGAGGTTTGGCTCCTGCCGATTAAGCCAAGTCCATACGCACTGCCCAGAATAGCATCTCTGAGCTTGCCAATAGCACCATGGAGACAGAGTTCTGAGGCAGCTCTTGTGAGGTCAGAGATGGAGTTCCAGGTGTGCCTTCCGGGTCATAGTCCCAGAGGAAAGGCCAATCCGATAAGCCAAGCATCTGGCTTCTCTCTCAGGCCAGGGCCAGAGGCAGCCTGCGGATGTGCGCAGAGGGTCTTGAGCCCCAGGATGTAGAGAATAGCCATGCAGATGGGGTCCTCAGGTAGAAGTTTCTAGAACGATCACGGGTCAGTCCTTAAAGAGCCCCCAACCTGAAAGAGAGTGAGGGAAATCAGACTTTGTCCTAAGGGGTCCCCTTCTGGGAGGGGGCCCCATCCCAGGGCCAGGGCTCCATGAGAGAAACCAACATGGGCCTGGGGTCCAAGAAATTGGGACCTCAGTGATGAGTGGGGTCTGGAGGGACCCTGAGGATCACCTACAAAGAGGCCCCCTGGATTCAGAGGCCTAGGTGGGCCTAGAAGAACAGGGCGGGCATGGAAGTGGCAGCAAGGGCTGCATGCTGAAGCATGAGGTGGGTGCCTGCTACTGGAGAGGTAGCAATGGGCAGGAACCCCAGGGAGACCCATGGCCTCTTGATGGGAGAAGTTATAAGATGTGCTTTCCCGGGGCTGGAGAGATGGCCCAGAGGTTGGTCCAAAGTTCAATTCCTAGCAACCACATGATAGCTCACAGACATCTGTAATGAGATCTGGTGCCCTCTTCTGGCGTGCAAGTATATAAGCAGGCAGAAAACTGTATACATAATAAATAAATCTTAAAAATACTTTTAAAAATGTGGTTGCCTAATAGTCTTGTATGGGGCCAGGAGGGTGGTAGCATACACCTTTAATCCCAGAACTAGGGAGGCAGAAGTAGGCGAATCCCTGTGTATTACAGGCCAGCCTGGTCTAAAGAGTGAGTTCCAGAACAGAGAAACCCTGTCTCAAATAAAAACAAACAAACAAAAAGTCTTGTATGGGAGTTAAACTGTCCTCCAGAGATTGTTGGACATGATGGCACATGTCTGTAGCCAGCATCCATGAGGCTGAGCCAGGAGAGATACAAGTTCGAGGCCAGCCTGGACTACATAGTAAATTCCAGGCCATCCAGAGCTACACAGTAATCCTGGCACTTGGAAGGCAGGGGAAATGAGGTCATCCTGGTCTACACAGTGAGTTCTGAGCCAGATGGTGCTATATATGATGAGACTCTGTCTCAAAAACTAAATGAAGAGCCACATGCTTGCAACCAGGAGTTCAAGGTCACCCTCAACTACATAACAAGTTTGAGACTAGACATCCTGGGCTACATAAGACACTATCCAAAAAAAAAAAAAAAAAAAGCTGGGCGGTAGTATTGCACACTTTTAGTCCCAGCATTCGGGAGGCAGAAGCAGGAGGATCTGTAAGTTCAAGTCCAGCCTGGTCTACAAAGAAAGTTCCAGGACAGGCTCCAAAGCTACAGAGAAACCCTGTCTCAAAAACAAAAAATAAATAAATAAAAAGAAAGGAGGAGAAAAAAAGAATCGGGTGTGGAGGCGGGGTGCATGAAAAGTGAGCAAAAAAGTACTGTCCGCTAGAGGGTGCCAAAGGCCAGGCCATGCCTGGAGCCTGCATAGCAGGCCCACACTCCCAGCAGCTCAGGAGTGCAGTCTCAGAGGCCAAAGGTTCTGCCTCACTCCCTAGCAGGTACTGAGTGGACTCAGACTGCTGCATTTCTTCCACGAAAGCAGAGCTGCACGCTGGGAAAGAGAGACACCTTTCTTCACCCCTGCCCTATGTGAGCTGTAAGGTCCAGGGAGAGCGACGGGCTGGGTGTGGTGGCACATGCCTTTAATCCTGTGAGTTCAAGGCCAGCCTGGTCCACAGAGCGAGTACCAGGACAGACAGGGTTACACAGAGAAACCTTCTCTTGGAGGGGGAAAAAGGGTAGGGGGCTATTGACCCTGGTGTGGTGGCACACATTTGTAATCCCTGGACTGGGAAGGCTTGGGTCAGGAGTACTGAGTTTGAGGATACCTGGGCAACAGAGAAACTGAGTCAAATAAATAAACTTTTAAAAAACAAAATAGATTCTTCTCTCATTCATCACAAATACAGTTTCGCATGGAGTCAGAGCTTGGCAGTTAGACAAGGAAGAGAGAGAGCTAGACTATGTTAGAGTCAGGCCAAGGGGCACATTTACTTAGCAGGATGTGGGAACCAAGGTGGACACAGCACCATCTGTCTCATGGGCAAGCACAGGATACTTAGAATCCACTGTAACAGACAGAAGGAATATCTGGTCTAGAGAGGCAAGAGTCTTCCAGGAAAGGTGGCATGGAAGACAAGTCCTCCAAGATTCTGCCATCGAGAAAGAGAACCTCTTGAAGCTGCTTGAAGCCCCAAAGGATTGTGAAAATCTAACTTGGAAATGGATAGTGGTTTGCACAGGTGAAAGCCTTGGGCTGGATTACCATGAAACTTTTTACCTGATTTCAACTCTATCCCATGGGCCACACAGCCTCTAAAGGGATCTAACTAAGCCAGGAGCAGAGTGAAGCCTCTTTACTGGACCACTGAGACACTGGGCTTCCAGCAAATTCCAGAGGGGTTCCAGTCAAAGGATGAACAGGTGCTATCAGCCCAGATGACTCAGGGTTATCCAGGAATCACAGGGAGTGGGGTCAGGACTGTGGGATGCAGGGGGACTAAGAAGGAATGGGTGGGAGGGGGATGGGAGGCTAGGCACCCGGCTGCCCAGAGGCTGTGGAGCCAGCTGGTAGCAGTGTTGAGTAGCAAGGTGTTTGCAGAGCATTGGCAGGGAGAGAAGATGGGGCATAAGGTGGTCTCCTTGCTGAAAGCCTGCAAGCTAGGAGACAGTTCCTTGGAGGAGAGAGGAGAGGCAGCTAAAGGCACCAGGATTGGAGATACAGATCAGATTAATGAATCGTGCTAGTCTGGACAGGATCAATGCAGATAATTGGGGATGGAGAGGACACACCCAGAGTCCTTTCTCCTGAGGGTTAGCTGAGTAGGGTTCCAAACAAAATACAAGACAGTTAAATGTGAGCTTCGGAGAAACAGTGTTTGCAGTGTTTGGGATCTATGTATAGTTGAAACCTTTTCTCGTTGTTTCTCTGAACAGTGTGTGTGTTTATTTGTGCGCCAGGGATCAGCCCCAGGTCTTCGTCACCTTTAATCCCAGCTCTGGTGAAGCTGAGGCAGGAGGATCACAAATTTGAAGCCAGGCTAAGCCACAGAACAAGTACCAGGCCAGCCAGGACTGTAGAGCAAGACAAGATTCTGTCTCAAAACAATAAAGCAGAGGGGGAAACAAAGCTGGGCTCTTCCAGAGGACCCAGGTTCGAGTCCCAGCACCCACGTGGAAGGCAACAACTGTCTGTAACTCCAGAAGATCTGACACCCTTCGGGCCTGTGGGCACTGCACGTGATGTGCAGACGCATGCAGGCAAAACACACCCACACCCACAAAATAAAACGATGTCTGAGTGAGTGCAAGCCTGCTGACCTGAGTTTCATCCTAGGACTCAAATAGTGGAAGGAGAAAACTGAGCCCAACAGACGCATACCAAAACAACAACAACAACAACAATGTAATATTGTTTTGAAAAGCACAATCAATCAAGCAGCGTATGGTAGCCACGCCTTTAATCTCAGCACTTGGCTGGCAGAGGCAGACAGATCTCTGTGAGTTTGAGGTCAGCCTGATCTACAGAGTGAGTTCCAGGACAGCCAGCGCTATGTAGGAAGACTCTGTCTCAAAATAAATAAATAAATAAATAAAGATTAAGAAACACCAACAAGCTTTGCAAAATGTCAGTATCATAACCAATGAGGGTTAGCTGAGGCACTATTACTGCTAACCAAAAACAAACAAAAAAAAGCATAAAAACAATGCTTTACTACTGAGCTACACCCCCTGAAGTTTTTATTTATTTTGTGTGGGTGGTTTGGGATTTTTTGTTTGTTTAGTTGATTGGCTTGGGTTTTGGTGTGTGTGTGTGTGTGTGTGTGTGTGTGTGTGTATGAGAGTGTGTGTTGAGATGGAGTCTCACTGTGTTGTGTGTTGCCCAGGCTGGCTGGGAAGTCACTATGTATATCTGGGTAGTTTTGAACTCCCAGACATCCTCATGTCCTTCCCCAAAGTCGTGTGCCACCATTCCCTATGAGAAGTGAGTAGGGGTGCAGAAGGTGGTCAGAGGCTGACCCACAGGAGTTGGTTCTCTCCTTCCACCATGAGGGTCCTGGAACTTGAACTCAGGTGTTGGGTAACAATGAGCCATCTCTTCAACCCCATCCCCCTGAAATTCTCTAACTGGCCACCCTATATCTTTCACTTGTCAAGTCTAGCCACTCTCTCTGGTGTCTTGCTGTTGACTAGAGTTTGGTCTTAGCTGCAAGCGGCTGCTCCTCCACCTGATTGTGAATTGGGGCCAGAGGGTATGAGCGCTTCCTGCTCGGCGATGGAAATAAGTTTGTGAAGGCAGAAGCAGACCAGGAGGTCAAAAACTAACGTGGCAGGGGCTGATGACACCGCTGAAAATGAATTGTAGTATTGGTAGTTACCCCTTTAATCCCAGCACTTGGGAGGCAGGGGCAGGCGGATCTCGGTGAGGTCGAGGGCAGCCAAGGCTACACAGAGAGACACTGTCTCAAGAAACATAAAAAGAGGGGTGAGGGTGTGGGAGAGATCAAACCCCAGCACTGGAAAAAAAATACAAAAATATTGGCTTGGTAGCTCCTGCCTATAGTTCTAGCATTCATGTGGCTAAGGCAGGGGAGAGCCTTGTTTGAGAGCAACCTAAGCTATACAGTGCCTTCCAGGCTAACCTGAGCAAGACCATATCTCCATAAATAATTTTTCCCCTTTTAGACATGGTCTCACTATGTAGCACTGACTGGCTTGAAACTTACCAATTTGACCAGGCTGACCTCAAGGTCACAGAGATCCACCTGCCTCTGCCTCCCAAGAACTGGGATTAAAGACATGAGATACCAGCATTGCACCAGACCATAGACAAGTTTCTGACTCTATTTTTGTCTGCTGTCCAGCTGTTTGCTAATGAAGTTGGCCGTCACCTACTGTCCACTGACCTCTCACTCAGTACGCACTAAGGATCTGACAGAGCCAAGTGGTGACTGGAAACACTAACGTTTCCCTATCTGAAAATTTAACTATTTACAGACACATAGCCAAACACGTTCATTATAATCATTGTCTATTGGGCCAGAAATTTTGTGAAGGGGAAAAGATTAAAATTGTTTTCTTTTACTACTTACTCACTTGAAATACAAAAGGGCCAAAAGAACCTTTATAGACCTGTTTCTGTTCACTGACAGCTACTGTTGACCTTCTGATAGATCTAATCTTTTCTGTGTTCACACATACGCATATCCCCTGACACTTTGTAAAGTAAATAAACAGTACTCACAGAGGGCGTCTGGTTTTTGAGACAAGGTCATACTATGTAGCCCTGACTGACCTGGAACTCACTATGGAGACCATGCTGGCTTCAAAGTCACAGAGCTCTGCCGGCCTCTACCCCATGGATGCTGGGATCCACCATCACAACACCCAAAGGCATGAGGTTTTGACGTAATTTCTTTTCATTCTGACGTAGGTGCGCAGCCTCCTGAAATCTACTTAGCAGATTTGCTGTGTGGACTCCCCTAGTGACAGGTGGTTAGATCGTCTCCACTTATGAATGGTTTCCTTTCATTTTATGGAGTGCTGAAGATGGAACCCAGGGCATTACACATCCTAGACAAATTTCTCTACCCCTGAGCCACATCCTCACCCACTTCCATTTTCAGGAAGGGAAACTGAGTTTCCTTTCCCAAGGTCACGCAGGGGATGCACTCAACCCTGACATTTGCCCGTTGCCAGAATTCCTTCAGCCCTAGTCACCTCAGGTCATCTTCCCGAAGTCATAGACAGCTTTGAGGACAGAGAACATGGCGGTAATGCTGGGGTGATGAGGCAGGCAGGACCAAGCATCCTGCAATTTGCCCAAGGGATGGAATGCCGCTAAAAGACCCATGTGTCTGTGTGTGCACGAGCACATGTAACTTTTTAATTGAACCTAGTGCCTCCCACATGTTAAGCAAGTGCTCCCCAGCCCTGAGGAATAAGAATTTAAAGCCAGTCCTTAAGCCCATGTGAAGGCCAGCTTGAGCTATGTAGCAAGTAGCAAGCCAACTAAGGCTATACTGTGAGATGATGTCTCAAAAATAAGTAGGCCATGGAATGTAAAAAATAAATTAATAAATGAGAAAATTTCAAAAGAAATTTAATCCCAGCACTCGGGAGGCAGAGGCAGGAGGGTCTGTGTGAGTTGTGAGTTCCAAACCTGCAAAGCCTGCAAATAGTGAGACCCTGTCTCAAAATAAAAAGGAAGGGACGAGCCAGTGTCAAACTGCTTGACTGAACATCAGGGGCCAACCAGACAACGCAGGCCTTTTCTTCCTAGTATAAGCTCCAAAGGAAGGCTTCGGAAGCCTAGAGGAGGCTCACTCATGGACAGAGGCAGCTGGGGAGATAGCACAGGGTCTGGACATATGAGAAGAATGGAAGTGTGTGTGTGTGTGTGTGTGTGTGTGTGTGTGTGTGTGTGTGTGTGTGTTGTTCAGGACAGGGTTTCCCTATAGCTTTGGAGGCTGTCCTAGAACTCACTCTGTAGATCAGGCTGGCCTCAAACTCACAGAGATCCACCTGCCTTTGCCTCCTTAGTGCTGGGATTAAAGGCGTGTGTCCCCACTTACCACCATTTTTATATGGTTTAACTTTTTTCTTTTCTTTTCTTTCTTTTTTTTTAAGTAGGGAGGTGTAGACAAACATGTTGTGGAATAATCTTTTTGTGCACTAAGAAATGTGACAGTCCGACTCTGCCTCTCTGCCTTCTCTCCAGCTTCCTCTCTGCCTTGAAAACCCTGCCTAGCTGTTGACCATTCTGCTTTTTACTAAACCAATCCAAGTGACAAATCTTCACAGCGTATGAAAAGATTATTCCGCAACACAGACAGGCACACATATGTGGAGGTCTGAGGGCAAATTGGGATGTGGTTTTCCTTCCATCGTGTGGATCCCTGAGGGCAAATTCCTTTCATCAGACTTGGTGGTACACCCCTGCCCCATTGAGCTACCTCACTGGTCCCATCAGTTGAGCTACCTCACGGGTCCCGTTTCTGGTTTTTGATCCAGGCTCTCAAGCAGCCCTCGCTAACCCAGAACTAGCTATATGTGGCCTACAACTTCTGATCTTCCTGATTCCACCTCTCGGGTGCTGAGGTCATGAGATCATAGGTGAGTACCACCACACCTGGCTTTCCTGTTTTGGTTTCTGGTTTTTGTTTGTTTGTTGGTTGGTTTTTTGAGACAAGGCCTGTGTGTATCCCCGACTGGCCTCAGAATCCTGTTGCCTTGGATCCTGTTGCCTTGGACTCCAGAGCTGGGATTACAGGTGTGGACCACCAAACATGACTCTTCTGTGTTTAGTTTCACACATGCGGGCAAACACACACACACACACACACACACACACACACATACACACACACACACACACACACACACAGAGTTACGCACACGTGAGCATGCGCCTATTGGGCTGGGTTAATATTTTCCTGCCTGCGTCAGCATGGTCCAGTCAGCAGGCAGCTTGCTATGGGAACGTGTCCTATCTGATTTGGTCCGGGGTTGTGGGCCTGGAACAGTGGGCTTGAGGTGGGCAAGGAGCCCAACTCAGCTCCCCCAGGCAAGCCACACTCTTTGCTGCCTGCTCAGCCTGAGGAAGGAGGCAGGCCCAGAGGCCACATAGCTCCAGCTTATGTGACTCACTGACTGACGCCCCCAACCCCACATCCACTGGGGGCTCCCAGCTGAGAAGCCTCCCTGCAAGTAGGGGAGGCCAGCCACCCCCTGACATCTTTGCCACACATCTGTCTTTTGGGGATAAACAGGTGCAGAGACCCCAGCAACTTTGAAACGGCCTTGGGAGCCTGGGGAAGACAGAACAGAGCCAACTTTCCAGTGGCTGCATGGAGCCTGCTCAGAGGTCTGTGTGGGCAGCGTCTGGGATGCCAACATCCATGGGCTCTGAGCCTCAGTCAGGAAGGCCCCCAAGCAGGGTGGGACCTTCCCTGTTCCTGGGCCTCTCCCTGTGTCATTCAAGGGGGCCTCCCACACCCACACTGGTCCCTGCGGTGCAGGCTGGGCCAGCCGGGCTAGGCAGGCAGACACAGTCTCTTCTGCTCCTGGCACAGCCCAGCATCCAGGATGAGTCAAACTCAGGTGTCCTGGCTCCCAGCCCAGCTGGAGGATGCCCCAGTGTATATCTGAGCATGAACAACAAGGATGCCACACGGAGGGAGAAAACTGTCATCTCGGGGTCTGTTTCTCTCAGCACAGACCCTGAGCCTTCTCACCTGCCTCACACGCTCCGTCCCTGGACAGCTTCCCCTGCAGCCTAGGCAACGTGCATACTGGCTTCCCCCACCCACCACAGTAAAAAAAAATCATGAGTGAGAATTTGCCGTCTTTTTTTTTTAATTTTTATGGCGTGGACTAATGACATTATAAAAAAGCATCAAAGTGTGTGTGTGTTTGTGTGTGTGTGTGTGTGTGTTGACCCTAAGAAGGAGAACAGTGATTACGTGCTGCACAGAAACGCCTGCTGATAGGAGGTCCTGAGCTCCTGTTGGCCCGCAGTGTTATATATAAACAACTCAGGAGTTTCTTGTGGTTCAAAGCATGTAGGCCTGGCAGCACCTACACATAACGACTGGTGTGTGGGTTGTTCACGTGGATGGAGTGCTTGCAGAGCCAGAACCGGTGTCAGATCCCCAGAGCTGGACTTACAGATGCTTGTGGGCCTCCTGATGTGCGCGCTGGGAACGGGACTCAGGTCCTCTGCGAGAGTGGAAACAGCTCTAACTGCTGAGCCAGCTCTCCTGGCTTGTTTGGTAGTTTTGTAGGTTTTGTTTGTTGTTGTTGTTGTTGTTGTTGTTATTGTTTGGTTTTTCAAAACAGGGTTTCTCTGTGTAGCTTTGTAGACCAGGCTGGCCTCAAACTCACAGAGATCCGCCTGCCTCTGCCTCCCAAGTGCTGGGATTAAAGGCGTGCGCCACCACCGGCTTTGTTTTTCTTTTAAGGTTTATTTTTAAGGGACTGGGAAGAATACTCAGCCATTAAGAGCATCCACTGATCTCCCAGAGGATCCAGGTGCAATTCCTAGCACCCACGTGGCAGCTCACAACTGTCTAAAACTCCAGTTTCAGGCAAAACACCAATGCACATTTTAAAAAATTATACAAAAAAAAAAAAGATTTAGTATGTGTGTGAGAGGGGAGGGGGAAAGAAAGAGAGGCAGAGACAGAGACAGAGACAGAGAGACAGAGAGAGAGAGAGAGACAGAGACAGAGACAGAGACAGAGAGACAGAGAGAGAGACAGAGACAGAGACAGACACAGAGACAGACACAGAGACAGAGACAGACACAGACACAGACACAGAGACAGAGACAGAAACACAGAGCGCGCATACACAGGTGCCCCTGGAGGCTGGAGGCATTAATTGCCCCAGAGCTGGAGTTACCGGTGATTGAGAGCCACCCCTACAGGAGTAGCAAGTGCTGTTAACTTCGGAGCAGTCTCACCAGCTCCTAGTGTTTATTAAAAACATGGTCTAGCCAGGTTAGTGGTGCAAGCCTTTAACCCCAGCAGCACACGGGAGGCAGAAGCAGGTGGATCTCTGTGAGTTCAAAGTCAGCCTTGACTACAGAGCGAGCTCCAGGACAGCCAGAAATACATAGAAAAGCCTTGTCTCAAAATAAATAGGCTGCTACAATGTGATCTCACTGTGTCTTCCTAGCAGGCCTGAATTTGCCAGGTAGCTCAGGCTGGCCTCAAATTTGAGCTGCTTCTGTTCTTGGCTCCCAAATGCTGAGACTGCAGTCATGCACCAACACACCCAAAGCATTTTTCTTTCTTCTTTCTTCTCTCTCTTTTTTTTTAATGCTGGTTGACTTAGAATTCACTATGTAGATGCCACCATGCCTGGCTCTATCCTGATTATTTTTAAGTGAACAATTAGTAATGGGAATACATTCTCATTGTTGCACAGTTGATCTCCAGAACATTTTCATTTTATAAAACTGAACTTATCTGCCTATTGAGTGACTTCCCAGAGGCTCCCAGCCTCCGACAACTGCCATTCTACTATGGATCCTGCTTCTCTAGTTCCCTCGTGTCCCTGGGGCATGCAGTATGCCCCGTCTTCCTTGCAAAGTCCTAAGATTCCGTCATGTTACAGCATGTGTCAGAAGAGCCGTTCTTTGCAAGGTTGACTAAATGAGAGTCCATGGCTTAATATGGACACGTGGGCACTCTCTGCTCTTTGCTTTTGGGAATAATGCTGCTATGAACACAAATGCAGAAATATTTCTTTAGGATGCGATTCGTGTGTGTGTGTGTGTGTGTGTGTGTGTGTGTGTGTGTGTGTGTGTGTGTGTGTGTAAGCGTGTGCTGGCATTTTTGTCTTTTGGACAAAATATTCTTTTTTTTTCTTTTTTTCAAGGCAGGGTTTCTCTGTGGCTTTGGAGGCTGTCCTGAAACTAGCTCTTGTAGACCAGGCTGGCCTCAAACTCACAGAGATCCGCCTGCCTCTGCCTCCCAAGTGCTGGGATTAAAGGTGTGCGCCACCAATGCCCAACAGAAAGTATTCTCTCTTAAAACTGTGATGAGACACCTGCATACTAATATTGCACATTACAGCATTTTTCTCGTTGTATGTGTGATCCTAGCACTTAGGAGGTCGAGGCCTTTTTTTTTTTTTTTTTCAAGACAGGGTTTTTCTGTATTGTTTTGGAGGCTATCCTGGAACTAGCTCTGTAGGCCAGGCTGGCCTCAAACTCACAGAGATCCACCTGCCTCTGCCTCCCAAATGTTGGGATTAAAGGTGTGCGCCACCAACCCCTGGCGGTCGAGGTCATTCTTGGCCACAGTAGTAGCTCAAGTTCAAGTCCAGCCTGGGCTACATAGGAGTCTGTCTCAATAACCCAACATAATAGTAGTAATAATATTTTCTTCAGCCTGGAATTCATTTTTTCTTCTTAAAGTTTTTCCTTTGTTGTGCATATCTAATGGATATATTACTTCACCTGCCTCTCCTCTGTCTAGATGTCCCCCCATCTACCCAACCCTGAAGCCCACTCCGAGGCATGCAATTCCCCACCTCATCTTTGGAGCCTTCCCTCTGGAGTCTGTTCCCTCTTGAGCAGCTCCCTCAGTTGGCCACAAGGTTCTCTTCCTGCTCAGTTCTGTTTCCATGACCCCAGATCTATCCCACCTTAGGTCCCAAATATATGCCTTCCCCAGGAACCTCTTTGTGGGTCTTACTGCCTTCATCCCCCTCACCCATTATCCCTTCAGTGATATTTCTCACCACCAGGTTGCCATGTTTCTAGATTAGAAAAGCAGTTGAATGCTTTAAGTGTTGCTTCATGGGCCATCCTAGTAGGAACACGGGAGACAGTGGTGCTGAGTGTGATTTGATGAACTGTGGGTGCCTGGCTCAAGAAGTTTCAGAGGAGAAAGAATATTAATATGTGGTCTGGATATCATTCTTGTGATATTTTGATGAAGAATGTGGCTGCTATTTGTCCTTGTCTGAAGAGTCTGCCTGAGACTAAGGTGAAGAGTTTTGGATTAATTCTGTCAGCAAAGGAAATCTCAATATAGCCCATTATAGACTCTGTTGTGTGATTAGTGGTCACTCTTATACAGATTTATAATGGAAAGGAGCAAGCTGAGAAAGGAAAAATACAAAATGTACAATTTGAGGAGAAAAGGGGAACCAGGAAGTGGAATGGTGCCAAATCCTGTGTTCAAGGAGATAAACAGATTAAGAAATGGACTAAAGAGAGTGATGACTTCAGAGTAAGATCCCACCCAGCTAAACTTCCAACTTGTGAAAAGAGATTAAAGGAAAGCAGGGTGTGGTGGTGCACATCTTTAATCCCAGTACTCAGAAGGCAGAGGCTGGTGGATCTTTGAATTTGAAGCCAGCCTTGTCTACAGATCCCATTTCAAGAGCCAGTGAATGAAACCATCAAAAAAAGAAAATTGGTAAAAATGTAATTGAATGAGGGGGCCATGTTCTATCCCCAGTAAACAGCAGAACTTAGCAGCTATGGAATTTGTCTCCATGACTAAGGAAAGCTGCTGAGGCCAGGCATGTGTCAGGGTGTCCCTGCATGGAGACCTAGAGAGGCCATTGTGTGAAACTGTGAAGTTGAATCCTGGATTGCCTTGGAGACCACAAGATGTTGGAGATGCCAGAGCCATGGGACACCTGCGGAGGAAGCTGCTAACAGGGAGTAGAACCAGCCCAAGAGAGAGAGATGAAGATGCCAGGGCTGTGGGACACCTGTGAGGAGCGCTGCTAACAGGGAGTAGAACCAGCCCAAGAGAGAGAAGTGTGTTGCAGTCAGCAGAGCTGAATGGAGTTGGAGATCTGAAGAGTGTTTTGACATCAGACGTGGAGATGCAGAGTTTGGAGTTTGCCCAGATGGTTTTTAGTCTTGCTTTAGTCCAGTATTTCCTCACTAAGCTCCCTTCCCTGTGTTTTGGAATAGTAATGTATGTCCTATGCTGTTATATGTTAGAAGTATGTGATCTGCTTTTTTATTTTGTTTTTTCAGGGGATTACAGTTAAGATATTGCATAATCTCAAAAGAGATTTTGAACTTTTCAGCATTGTTGAGACTGTTAAAGACTATTAGTTGCCTGTATTTCTTTGTCTAGGGTGGGACCCTATGATGTTTTTCCCTTCATATCAACATGCCTGTTGATACTGCTGCTGTTCCAACCCGGTTTCTGCAACCATTTCTAGGAAGGACAGTTTCACTGCAGACTTCCAGCTCTCACAATCTTTCTGCCCCTTCTCCCTGGGTGTTCCTGAGCCACAGATGCAGGGGAGCTGATGCAGGTGCATTCATCGGGGCTGGGCTCTGCAGAGTCCATCTGTTGATCTATGCATTGTGTCTCCATTCGCTGTGAAGAGGTTTTGATGGGTGGCAGCTGCATGAGCCGGTGGCCTGAGGATAGGATTAGAAAGTGGCATCTACTGTCCCCACTTGGCTGGGTATTCTCCTCCCTGTGTCTCTCATAGGTCTGAGATAACATGGTCCTGTAGGAAGTTCTGGGTTTGGGGTTTGTCAGTGTGCTAATTTATCCTTAGAAAATACAAGAGGTAAGTGCTAAGGATGTAGCTCAATGGTAGAGTGCTTGTCTGGCATGCATAAGGCTCTGGGTTGAATTCCTAGCAACACACACACACACACACACACACACACACATTCACACCACACACACCACACACACAAGCCAGGTGGTGGTGGCGTACACCTTTAATCCCAGCACTCGGGAGGCAGAGGCAGGAAGATCTCTGAGTTCGAGGCCAGCCTGGTCTACCGAGCGAGTTTCCAGGACAGCCTCCAAAACAATACAGAGAAACCCTGCCTGGAAAAA